GAAGGTAAAAATTTCTTTTAAAAAATCATGACTTGTGACGCGACATGGATTCATTATTCTGTGAGCCTGAGAGTAAAGCCAGAGTATGAAATGGAAACATCCTCATTGACCAAAGAACAAGTTGAAAAGTCAACCATCAGCTGGAAAATTGATGCTTACAGTTTTCTGGGATTCCCAAGAGCCAGTATTAAAACACTATCAGGAAAAGGTTTAACAATCAATTGTGCTTGTTGCAGTGAGATGCTCACTAACGAGCTAATGCCTAATCTCTGGATTAAACACAGAGGACTGCTATCCAAGGGTGTTGTGATCTTTCATGACAATGCACATTTATACACCTCTGTCCACACAGTTGACACTCTGTAAAACCTTTGTTTTGAGATGTTGAAGCATCCTTTCTAGTAGTCTTGATCCTGCTCTATCGGACTTTTAACTTCTTGGTCCCCTGAAAGCAATCCTTCGAGAACCAAGATTCACCTTTGATGAAGAAGTGAAGACAGAGGTACATTTGTGGCTCTCAGCTCAGCCTAAAACATTTTTTAATCAGGAAATATGAAAACTTGAGAGATGGATAAAATGTACTAAAAAGCAAGGAGACTGTGTCAAAAAATGATGTATCTGTCTTTTCTAAAAGTAGATTAAAATAAATTCTACATCCAGAGTGTACGTAATTTTTGACTGATCCCTGTAAATTCAAAAAAATATATTGTCCATCTACCTATCCTCAGTTGATTTTTGACAAAGGACCAAAACACATAAAGTGGGGGAAGAGGGAGTCTCTTCAACAAATGGTGCTGGCAAAACTAGAAATCCATTTGCAGAAGAATGAGAGAAGGCCCATATTTCACACCATATACAAAAATAAACTCAACATGCATTAAAGACCTAAATGTAAAACCCCAAACTATAAAGATCATCAATGGAAAAATAGGGACAAACTTAGTTCATGGCGTAAATACACTACCAAACACAACTGGAAACCCACAGACAAAAGACAAAATAGATGACCTCCTAAGAAGTAGACACTTGAAAAGATCATACCAGAAGAGTAAAAAGTAAAGCCACAGACTGGAAAAAATTTTTGGTAATGATATTTCAGACAAGGGTCTCCTGTCCAAAATTTATAGGACACTTCAACACCTCCATAAGAAGACAGATAATCCAATTAAAAAATGGGCAGAGGACATGAACAGACACACCACCAAGGAAGATGTTCAGGAAACCAATGCTCACCAGTCATCAGACAGATGCAAATAAAACATGATAGCATTGTACCCTACCATTAATAGCATTGTTCAAAAAAAGAGAAAACAACAAATGCAGGGGAGGGTGTGAGAATCTAGGACCTGCCTACACTGCTCGTGGGACTGTGAAATGGTGCAACCACTGTGGAAAATAGTATGACACTTTCTCAGAAGGTTGGAAATAGAAACACCATACAACCCAGCAATCTCTCTACGTTGTATATATACTCAATAAGAGCCGTGACACAAATAGGTATTTGCACACCCGTGTTCCTTGCGGCACTATTCATAAAGCAAAAGGATGGAGGCAGCCTAGATCCCATCAGTAGAAGAATGGTTGAACCAACGTTGGTACATGTACACAATGGAGTATTATCCAACACTGAAGAATAATGACGAATCTGCAAAACATAACATGAAGGAGCCTGGAGAAACTGGTCGGTTGGAAAGGGGCAGATATTGTAGAGACCACGAGCGTAAAAAGTCAAGAAAAAGCTTTCATTCTTTAATAAATCTATGATAATCACCAAGGGTTTGGGGGAAGAGAGAAAGATCTAGCAGTGTGGCTAAGGTGCACTACAGGCACTCACTCATCTATGCCAAGAAATTTGGAATACAGTCACCTGGCCAACTGACTGGCTATTTGTGCCCATTCCACAGAGCCGTGACCCAATAGAATGTGGATATCATTGGATAATGTCATTAATATCACAGACATGTACAATTTTGCTAAAGATAATTCAAAAACGGCTGCAACAGTACATTGACAGGGAACTGCCAGAGGGTCAAGCTGGAGTCAGATGAGGACATAGAACAAGGGATAGCATTGCTGACATCAGATGGATCTTGGCTGATACGGGGTTGCTGAGTCAGAACCAAATCCATGGCACATAACCACCATTACCGTAGAGAACCCACATAGGGTTTGAGGCTGTAATTCTTTACAGGGGCAGAAAGCCTCATCTTTCTCCCATGGAGTCATTGGTAGATTCGAACTGCTGACCTTGTAGTTAGCAGTCCAACATGTAACCCACTACACTACCTGGGCTCATTGGGTAGAGTGTAGACATGTAGTAACTTGGGTAATAGGGAAGAAGGCAGTTAAAAAGAAAAAAGGGGAAAAAAAAGGAACACCCCTCCCACCCCATATTTTGGAAGGGAAATAACGTAAACCTATTTTCTCATTAGGATAAACTCTTGGAAATTTTCTACACAAATAAAAAAGAAAATAAAGATTCAGTCAAAAAAGAAAAAAAAGCAAGAAGAAGATTTGGAAATGGACAGATGTTAGGGTTGTACACATGTGGCTGTTGTTGTTAAGTGTTGTTGAGTAGGTTCCAACCCATAGCGACCCTGTACAGGGTTTCTGAGGCTGTAAATCATTACAGGAGCAGAAAGCCTCATCTTTAGGAGTTCAGAAAAAAATATAAATATATACATGAGATACGTTGTTGTTAAATGCTGTCGAGATGGTTCCAACTCATCGCAAACTCATGGTTTCTGAAAAGCAGTTGGTGGGTTTGAACCACTGACCTTGTGGTTCAACTCGACCTTGTCATCCAGTGCTTATCCTGCAGCTCCGCTCCGGAAAGGCAGAGAGGGCAGGGTTCACGTGGACAATAGAGCGATGCTTTAGCTATTGACTGAACCAAGGACTGCTAGTCTAGGAGCCTGGTGGTGTTGCGGGTTATGTGTTAGGCTAAGTGCAGGGTCAATGGTTCCAACTCCAATAGCTGCTCCTTGAGAAAAAGATGAGCTGTCTGTTCCCCCAAAAACGTAGCCTCCGAAATCCTAAGGAACAAGGCTACTCTGCCCTGCAGGGTCATTATGAGTCAGACTCGACTCCATGTCAGTGGTTTGGGTTTGGTTTAGTTTCTGGGATATCTACCACCTGTCTGTGTGTCTGCTGTGTGGCTTATGTTTTTCTGTGATCCTAGAAGCTATACACTAGTATTTTAAATACCATTAGGGTAGACGGTGATGAGGTTTCGGCAGGGTTTCCAACTAACATGGACTAGGAAGACAGGCTTGACAATCTACTCCTGAAAATTAGACACTAAAACTCTACGCATCACAACCAAACACTGTCCCACACATTGCTGAGATGAGCCACCGAGAGTGGAAACCAAGGAAGAAACAAACCTACTGCCATCTAGTCGGTTCCGATTCACCGCGCAGAGCAGACCTGAGCCCTAAGACTATAACTGTTACAGCCTCATATGCATATGAAAGTTAAGACAGTGACTGAGGAAGACTAGAAGGATTGATGCATTTGAGTTAGGGTGTTGAGGAAGAATATTAAAAGCACCATTGACCGCCAAAAGAACAAAGAAATCTGTGTTGGAAAAATACAGCCAGAATGTTCCTTAGAAACCAGGATGGTGATATTTTGTCTTTCATACTCCCGACATATTATCAGGAGGGACCATTCCCTGGAAAAAACCATCATGCTTAGTAAAGTAGAGGACCAAGGAAAAAGAGGAAGCTCCCCAAGGAGCTGGAATGACACAGTGAAAACAACAATGGGTTCAAGGTACCAACTGTGTGGATGGCGCAGGACTGGGCAGTGTTTTGTTCTGTTGTGCATGGGGTTGCTCTGAGTTGAAACCAACTGGAGAGCATGTAACAACAGCGGTATTGCTGTCCTGGTGTGGCACTATATAGCCTAAGCACTGGACCGCCAACTGCAAGGTCTGTAGGTCAAACCCACCAGCTGCTCTGTGGGTTTGAACGTTACCATTAAGTTTTATTATTTTATTATGATGCAGGTTCACTGAGTTAAAACCGACTAGACAGCAAAAGGATGCAAGATAATGCACTGGGCCAAACGGTTGGTTTGAACCACAAGGTTGACGGTTCAAACCCATAAGGTGCTCCTCAGAAATTCTATACAGGGTCACTGTGAGTTGGACCCGATTCAATGGCACTTCTCAACAATAACAACGATGGCAGTAGTTAACAACAACGGTGGTGTACCGTGATCCCCATTGGACTGCTAATCTCAAGGTCAGTGGTTCAAACCTACCAGCAGCTCTGTGGGAGAAAGATGAAGCTGTCTGCTCCTATTAAAATTTACAATCTCACAAACCCAACACAGGGAGTCAGAATGAGTTAGAATCGACTCATGGCAGGTTTTTGATTGATCTTTACAGAAGCTAGCTGGTGGGTAGCTCTGAGTGCATAACCACCAACCAAATACTCAAGATACGCAGTGGCTACAACAACAAAGTCAAGAATCACAAGGATGGTGAAGAAGTTCACGACTACCCCGCAAGGCCCACCCTCATCACGTGACGCGCGCCCCCTCTAGGCCCTCTCCCACCCACTCTGTCAAAAGTATGAGTTGGCGGAGAAAGCCAAACTTGGCAAGGCCAGGCGAGCAAGGCATTCGTTGCGGTTTCCTATCTTCAGGTCCGACCCACTCCAGCCCTCAAGAGGAGGTCCCTCCTAATTCCAACTGACAACTCAACGGAGGGCATACGGCTGGCGAAAGGCAAGAAGAGGGCCAGGGCGCACGCGTGAAGACTAGGGCGGAGTTTCCGAGGCCAGAGCGTGGGCTACGAGGGGGAAAAGGAGGAGTCTCCAAAGCGCGCGCGTGCGCTCTTCAGTCGTCCCAGTCTGGCCCACGCGGCGCGTCGTGGTGACGCCCGCGAGGCCGAGGAAGGGGCGGGGCCGGGCCGGGGCGGGCCCCGAGCTCCCCCCGCCCCTCGGGCCGGTTCCCTCTCCCCCACCCTCCCCCACTCTGGGCCCGTCAGCGCGGGCAGCTTTCGTCGCGCAGGGTCGCGTCGGCCGGGCCCGGCCAGCGGGCAAATGCCCCGAGCTGCCGCCGCCGCCGCCGCCGACTGGGCTGGTGGCGGTGTGGGAGGCGGGCGTCCGGCCCGGGCCCTCTGAGTGTGGCGGACGGGGCCAGGGCTGGCTCCGCGCGGACCATGTATTTCCTGAGCGGCTGGCCCAAGCGGCTGCTCTGGCCGCCGGGGAGCCTGGCCGAGGCACCGCTCCACGTCCAGGCCGACCCCCAGAGGGCTTTCTTCGCTGTGCTGGCCCCGGCTCGCCTCAGCATCTGGTTCAGCCGAGTAAGTCGCGCCGCCGCCCGACCCGGCCGGGTCCGTCCCGCCCCCAACTTCCACCCGAGCGCGGCCCCTGCCCCGCGCGCCCCGGCCCTTGCCCGGCCTCGGGGGATCCCGCTGCCCGGCCCCGGGGAACGAATCCCCGCAAACTTTCCGCAGTGAGAACCCTCCGCTCTGCGCTAGGGGTCGCCGGCGGGGACTTCGGGACAGCCTGTTGGGCTTGCGCCGTGCCAGACTTGACAGGCCTGCGGTAACTTAGTCTGAAACTACAGCCGGAGCTCTTTGTGCTACAGCCGCCCAGGGTTGGGGGTCTCCCTGCCGTGAGACCTCCCTCTGCTCGACTGGGACTCCGCGGAAGTCAGAGCCGGGTCAGTGGGCGCTGCTCCCGGCTAGGAACACCTGGAATTAATCAGACCTGGGAACGCGTGTGCGCCAAACTCCACTCTGGGTTTTGCTTTCTGTGTGTCCAGCTTACTGGTTTCTTGTGCCTAATTACGAAGTAGATAGATACCAGAAGTGACTTGAAAACCTAAGCGGTGGATGGGATACGTTTTTCTACAGCTGCTCTGGGTGCTGGTCGGTGTTTTAAAAGCCCCTGAAGTCAGAGTGTAAAAATGTTTCGTTTTCTTTTTTTTTTTTTAAAAGAAGGCAGAGCTAATCGATGTCAGAGTGAAGTGTTTTTTGTTTTGTTTTGTTTTTTTCTTTCTTTCCTGTTTGTTTTATTGTTTTCCCTTGTGTCATAGCTAACTTCAAGTTGTTGTTTTCTTGTGTTTCATAACTAACTTGATGATGTGGAAATAGTTTGTGACCCTGGTCTCGGTGAAACTATGTGAAATATTGGTTTTAATTCCCTTAAAATGCCCAGAGCCTTTACCTATAACGCCCTTGACTGTCCTCGCACATCGAAGCCCCATTAAAAGTGATGATGTGATTTATGTCAGTCTGGTGCCTCTTTTATGTGACTAATGTTTGGACTGTACATCAGATGATTTGTCATTAAGTTTTGGAGTATCTAGTTTTCTAGTTTATAATTGGGAGGTTAGTGGCTCTAGAGGATAAATAATCACAGGAATAACGCCTGCGGTTTAAGCCCACCAAACGATCCTCACGGGAAAGGTGAGGCTTTCTGCTCCCGCTAAGATTTACAGACTCAGAAACCCTATGCAGAGTCACTACAAGTCGAAATAGACTGATGCAATTAACAACAGAAACCTACCAATGTAATTAACCAGCAATGTGACCATGCTGTACCCTGCTTGATTGCATTTTTGTAAAGTGTATATTGTATATCACTAGAGTCTTAAATAAGATACGAAATCATTTACATTGTTGCATGCCCACTGAGTAAGTTTTCATTTGCTCAGGTGTATAGAATTTTTCTTTCAAGCATAGACAAAAGGAGCTCTCGTAGTGTAGTGGTTACAAATCGGGCTGCTAATCTCACGGTCGGCAGTTCGAAACTACCCGCTGGTCCGCGGGAGAAATAGGCTTTCTGCTCCCATAAAGATTTACAGCCTCGGAAAGCCTGTACAGGGTCGCTGTGAGTCAGAACTGACTCCACGGCACATAACAACAACATACACAAAAAACACAATTAGAATTTGATTTTTAAGTTGTCTTTTGAATTTTAGCATTTAACTTCATCCTGAATGTAACGAATTATATTTGTAAAGCTTTTTCAAATTGAACTTTTCTATACTCTTCTAAAATAGGCAAAAGTCCCTGGGTGACAGAAATGTTTAAACAACTACAAGCTAATAGGTCAGCGAATTTATGCAGAAGCTCCTAGGAAGACAGATCAACTTGTCTGTGAACTTTTCAAAGTTCACAGTCTTGAAAACGCTATGGAGCACATTCCAGCAAACATAGGGGTTGCCTTTGAGTTGAAGTCGACTCAATAGCAGCAAAGTATGTAAAGGTAATTTTTGGTTGTTAAGTGCCCTCGAATTAGTTCAGTCTCCTGGAGACCCTGAACTTCTGGCCCACATGCTAAATTTGAAGTTGAACTTTGAAGAACTTTCAACCTTGCAATTCAAATCAACTTTGTAGTACAGCGCTTTATCCTACAGCACTACACCAGGACATTTGTTGTTGTTAAGTGTCGTGGAGTCGATTCTGACTCATAGCGACCCTATACAGAGTTTCCGAGGCTATAAATCTTTATGGGAGCTTTCCGTGGAACAGCTGATAGTTTAGAACTGCTGACTTTGCGGCTCGCAGCCCCATTCGTAACCACTACGCTACCAGAGCTCCTTACACCAGGACATTACACCAGTACATTGTTGTTGTTGTTAAGTGCCGTCGAGTCGGGTCCGACCCATAGCGACCCTGTACAGGGTTTCCGAGGGTGTAAATCTTTACGGGAGTAGAAAGCCTCATCTTTCTCCCGCGGAGCAGCTGGTAGTTTCGAACTGCTGACCTTAAGGTTCGCAGCCCGATTCGTAACCACTACGGTACCAGAGCTCCTTACATTAGGGGTGAGTTAATACAGTGTTTGAACAAATATAGCAAGCTACTTTTAAGTTGATAATATTTATAGCCCACAAATGGTGTTATAAATTTTGGCAGAAGAAAGGTTCCCTGTCCCTCCTGTGGAGTCCTAGTGTGACGCTGTGGGTTAATGCACCAGACTGCAAAGCCGTTTGAACTGGAAGGTAGGCAGTTCAAACTCACTAGCTGCTCCTTGGAAACTCTATACAGGGTCGCTATAGGTCAGAACCTATTCAACAGCACTTAAAAACAACAGCAATTCCTGCTATAGAGGGTGTCTGTGGAGTGACTGGTAGATTTGAACCACCAGCCTTACAGTCAGCAGTCCAGGGCTTATCCTGCATGGCCATTCTAGGACCCCAAACTCTATACAGGGTTGCTATGGGTCGGAATTGACTCAATGGCACTTAACAACAACATGAGGGATGACTCTAGTAGAAACCTGTAGACTTCGTTATTCTTCTGGAAAAGAAACATAAAACTCTGTTTTGCCTTGTGAATATTCTCAAGTATATATATTGTATATTGGAGTCCTGGCGTGACACTTTGGGTTAATACCCTGGATTGCAGAGTCAGTTTGAATCACAAGGTCAGTGGTTCAAGCTCACCAGCCACTCCTCGGAAACCCTATATAGGGTCACTATGGATCGGAATCTACTCAGTGACACTTAACAACAATAATGTATATCATCTGATTTGGGAGTTGAATAGTGTCTTAGTTCTCCAGTGCTACTGTAACAGAAATACCACAAGTGGGTAACTTTAACAGAAAACATTTACTGCCACACAGTTGGTTGTTGTTAGGTGTTACCGAGTTGGTACCGACTCATAGTGACCCTATGCACAACAGAACAAAACACTGCGCCAACCTCACTATTGTTGCTACATTTGAGCCCATCGCTGCTGCCATTGTGCCAATCCATCTCGTTGGGGGTCTTCCTCTTTTTCTCCGACCCTCCGTTTCACCAAACACAATATCCTTCTCCAGGGCCTGGTCCCTCCTGATAATAAATTGGAAGTTTGAGAGGTGAAGTCTTGCCATCCTGGCTTTCAAGGAGCACTCTGGCTGTACTTCTTCCAATGCTGATTAGTTTGTTCTTTTGGCAATACATGATACTTTCAATATTCTCCTCCAACACTATAGCTAAAATACATCAATTCGTCTCTTCTTTATTTACTGTCTAACTTTCACATGCATATGTTGTTGTTGTCAAGTGCCGTCAAGTCGGTTGTGACTCATAGCGACCCCATACAGGGTTTCCAAGGAGCAGCTGGTGAGCTTGAACTGCTGACCTTGCAGTTCATACGGCTTTGCAGTCTGGCGCATTAACCTACAGCGCCACACCAGGACTCCTCACATGCTTATGAGGTTACTGAAAATACCATGGCTTGGGTCAGGTGCACCTTACTCTTCAAACTGACATCTTTGCTCTTTATTGGCATTTTAAGTTCTCTCACTTTCAGCAAAAAAGGTTGTACCATCTGCGTATTGCAGGTTGTTAATGAGTCTTCCTCCAATCCTGATGCCACACTCTTCTTCATATAATTCATCTTTCTGGATTATTTGCTCAGCGTACAGATTGAATAAATATGGTGAAAGAATGTAGCCCTAACATATACTTTTCCTGATTTTAAACCAAGCTTGCTTGTTTAATCTCCTTAAGGCACTGTAAGGGTAAGCACTGGACCTCAAGGTCAGTGTGAACCACAAGGTTTGTGGTTCAGAGTCACCCAGCTGCTCTTCAGAAGCCCTATACAGTGTCACTATGAATTGGTACTGATTCTCTGGCACTTAACAACAGCAACAACACCACATTTCAAAAGAGATTGACACAGAACACACCATACATTAATCTTGCCTCTGTGACATAAATGAAGAGCACTTATTCCTAAACGGGATTATAACCAGAGGCATTGTTGTTGTTTGGTGACACTGTGTGCATCAGAACCAAACATTGCCCTGTCCTGGGTCACCCTTAAAATGTTCATGATTGAGCCCATCGGTCCTGCCATTGTGTCAGTCCATCGTAATGCGGGGCTGCTTCTCTGACCTTTTCCTTTACCAAGCATGAGGTCCTTCTCTAAGGGACTGGTCCTTCCTGATAGCATGCTTAGAGTGTGAGAAATGAAGTCTTAACCACCTTGGCTACCAAGGAGAAGTGTGGCTGTACTTTTTCCAAGACAGTTTTGTTTGTTCTTGCGGTCCATGATACTTTCAATATAACCATAGCATTTGTTGTTGTTGCTAAGTGCTGACCCTGTATAGGGTTTCTGAGGAGCAGCTGGTTGGTTTGAACTGCCAAACTGTGGTTCGCAGTCCAGTGCTGATCCTACAGTGCCACACCAGAAGTCCAATCACAGGCATCAAGGTTAGGGTTTACAAACAACATAAGAGGGGTACACAATTCAATCCATAACTTTGCACCCTAAGCCCCTCCAAAAATCATGTCCTTCCCACATACAAATCACATTCACCCCAGTCTTAAATCAACTCCAAGTCCAAAATTCCATCCTCT